GGAAGGAGATCGCGAGGCGGCCCGGCCCGCGCCCAGCTGCCTCCCCGGGAGCTGGCCCCGCGTTGCTGGGTTGGCGCCGCGCCCCGACGGCTCTGTCGCTTCCATCACTGGCCTCTGAACGCGGCACACGAACCAGTTTGGTGTCAGCCCCTCCCTTGGAGTGGTGTCGCGCCCAGAGGCGTGCCAGGGGGCGGCAGACTCCCTGTCAACCCAGCGCCCTGCCCTAGCCCTCCTCCCGCTCCCCTGCGCGCCCACCCCCGCACGGTGCCCAGACGTGGGCCAAACGCATCTTCTGACGGCTCCCTCCAAACAGCCGTCAGACCCTGGAATGGGGACGGCAGAGACTGCCAGGGCGAGGACTCCGAGGGACACCTGGGACCTTGTCCCCCAGTGTCCCCTCTAGGCTTGCGGTCTGAGCAAAAACCGTCCCTGAAATTCACCAAAAATCCCTACCTTTCTCACCTCTCCAGGGCCTCTGAAGAACTGGAAGGAGTTGCACAATTAACTAACACAGACAGCTTTCTGTGTGCCATGCGCTTACAAGTATTAAATTATTTAACTCTGATAAAAACCCCTATGAGGAAGGTATTATGCATTAATTCCTTTGTTTATTCGTTCAAGAAATCTTGGCCGGGGGCAGTGGCTCACACCTTTAATTCCAGCATTTGGGGAGGCAGAGGTGAGAAAATGGCCGAGCCTGGGGGTTCAAGACTAGCCTGGGCAACTTGGCAAGATCTCGTCTTTACAATACTTTTTTTTTTTTTAATTTGCTGGGCATGGTAGCGCACACCTGTGGTTCCAGCTCCTTGAAAGGCTGAGGTGGAGGGATTGCCTGAGCCCAGCAAGTTGATGCTGCGGTGGCCATGAATGAACCACTGCACTCCAGCCTGGGTGGCAGAGTGAGACTCCAACTCAAAAAAAAAAAAATCTGTACTAAGCAACTACTCCATAGCTGTATATTCATTTATACAGTAAGACATTGAGAGTCTAAGTAGCTTGTCCAAGATCACAGAGGTAGTAAGTGCTAGAATCTGGGCTTTTGATCATTACTAGGCTTTCCATTTGGGGGCTGGGGGCTGGACGTGGGTGGATTTCAGGGAAGGCAGAGTGGAGCAGTTAGTGTTGGGAGAAATGGAGCAGGGAGGTATCCCTGTGAACCTCAGCCTTGCTCAATCTGGGCGGGAAGCCTAGGAGGGAAAGATAAAGATCATCTGGAAAGTCTTCCACCCCCACACAGCATGCAATGAGTTGTGGGAAGGGTCTCTGTCCATGGCCCTGGTGCTGAAAATTCCCCAGAAGTTATCGGAGTCAGTGGGCAAACACTGGGCGAGTGTCACACCTGTACTAGGTTTGGGAGATCCGGGTGAAGCAGTACCTGGTCTCTGCCCTGGAAGAGCCCCCAGCCTTCAGGGGAGCCAGGCACACCCACAAGACAGTGCACACCCACTCACAACAGAGGGGAGTGGCCCCGCAAAGTAGACGGCAGCATGCTTGGGCCGAGAGGAAGGCTTCCCAGGTGGGTGGTCAGGATGAGTGGAAGCCATTGGTTGGGCTGACAGGTGGGGCAGAAGGGAGAGTGGTCCCCAGGAGGCAAGAGACCACCAAACCTGGAGCCCTCTACCTGGGCCCAGGTGGGTATGAGGGCAGGTGCCTGGAGTGTGGCAAGGGAGGTGGACAGACAGAGCGCAGAACTTGAGCGAGGATGACATGGTGGTCTGGGAAAGGGGAGACAGTCATCTGTAAAACCTTGAAAAGAGGCCCAAGTCTTAATACTCCATCTGTCCCAGAAGAGAACAACAAACAACACAAAGATCAACCAGGGAGGGGCACAGGGAAGAATGGGACCCAGAGAAGCTGCATTTCAGAGCTGAGTGTGATGAGGGTCTTCTGGTGTTGCCTAGACAGCAAGTCTGAAGCGCCCTAAGTTCCGGATCTCGAGGGGAAGACAGAGCAAAGCTCAGCTGATTGAAACAGAACAGGAAGGGTGATCTGCCCG